TTCTGGAGTCCTTTCTGAAAGCCATTGACTATGCCTAGATCTTGAACCGTAACACCTATGTTTTAATCTAGTTGATGAAGATTTCAGTACTTTCATTTCAGTCCTTAGCCTATTTTGAACTGACTTTTATAAAGGATAAGAGACTTCAATCTATGTATACATTTTAAAGACAATATTGTCTTTCAAACTTCAGATGGCTTGTAGCTATGTCCAAAATGTAACAATGTCTCCTTCTCGATAATTTGTGTGTTTGGGGATGTGTGTGGGGGGTGTATATGCCAGAACTCTTGAGGAAAGGTCAGAGGGAGATTTGTGCTAGTTAGTTCTCTCCTACTATGTGGTATCTGGTGATAAAACTCAAGTTGTCTGTCTTGGTAGCAAGCATCATTACATACTGAACCATCTCACCACTACTTGTAATAACTCTGGTACTAACAAAATGACCATTTAGTGATCTTTTAAACATAGTAAAGACCAAAGGATTTCTTCAAAAATGTTGTAGAAGATAATGCTGAAAGTATCTGTATAGGCAACCTGGAGAAGCTTTGCTTCTTATGGAATCACCAAATTACTGTTTTCTTTAATTTATTGGAAAAATAAATAACTGTAAATGTAGTTACAGAATCCAGACAAGCTATTTTGAAGCTAAATTGACTTCCTAACTGTGCAGGTTAGATTCTTACGGAGGATACAGCCAACAATGGCTGCTGCAGTTACTAGCAGTAGGCATATCACAGTAATGAGTAATAATCCACTTCTTTTAAGATCATGTGATAACCAGGGAGAACAATGACTAGCCAGACACTACAATCATACTACAAACTGAAAAAGTGAAGAAATGAGACTTTGATCACTTGCAAGGAGGTATATCCATCATGAGGAAAGAGAAACACCATTTGTGTTGCTAATAAGAAAATGGAGCTGAGTAGTCACCAGGCACGGAACAGCTGCCCGCTGTGAAGCAATCCAGGCGCTCACTGACAACAGCACCAGCTTTACCTCCACAAAGCCATTCGGTTTGCGTGGGGTGGTTTCATGGTCAGATGCCCAGTTAATGTGCAATGGCTGAGATTTGAGAGGCTCACGTGTCTGCCTCTCTTAGCTGCTGCACCTCTAAATGGGCCAACGCTCTTTAAAATTTAAAGAGCAAGCTTAGACATCACGCACACAAAGACTCCACCATATTCTCCTACACAATGAACTTCAAATCAAAAGAAACATGATTATTCACAACGTAATTTTTCCTCTTCCCACCCGCGCTGCTTTGCTGTCTGCCTTAAAATTGTGGTTCTGCCTCAATTTCCATCTATTTTTCCCTGATGATGCACATCAATCCTGCTTCTTAATGACATTTAGACCCTTCAAATATTTATAAACTGCTACCAGGCTCTCAATTCTCTGCCTTTATGCCTGAGTCATATTGTCATGGACACACGGATACAACAACACTTGCCAGTAAACAGCAAGGAATCAACTTGCCTACTTTTTGCTGGATTACTGATTGATTTAGAAACAGTTATCTCATTCCTTTCTATTTTTAACCATGAACTCTCAGTGTTGGCTCTTCAGCCATGAAAATCCCGAGGAACACATGCCCTACGGCATTATGGCAGTTTTACAATATAAAGATACTGGGAGAGCAGGACTCAGGCCAGCAGACATCAACTACAAATGCACAGTAACTTCTGTCAGAAATGGATGGGAGGAATACACACAGATGTTTAGTGTTAAAATCTTGTATTTGGATAATGATGGAAGCAAACAAGTGACCATGCAATGAAGCTTTTTTTTCAGAAACATTCTTATTTTACATATCAATCCCCCATTCACTCTCCCACCAACCCCCCCAACACAACCCAACCACTCCTCAAGGATAGTGAGGCCTTCCATGGAGGAGCATCAAAGTCTGTCACATCATTTGGGGGAGGGCCTAGGTCTTCCTCCCTGTATCTCAGCTGAAATAGTATCCCGCCATAGGGAATGGGCTCCTAATGTCCATTTGGGCACTAGGGATAAATTCTGGTACCACTGTTAGAGGTCCCATAGACTGCCCAGGCCTCCTAACTGGCACCCACGTTCAGAGGGCTTGTTTTGGACCCAATGCTGGTTCCCCAGCTTTAAGACTGGGGTCTGTGTGTTCTCACCAGGTCAAGTCAGCTGTGTCTGTAGGTTGTTCCAGGCAACCAAGCTTTTAAGACTACATTTTGTATTGATTAAAACAACACTGTGATATATTCTGTAAATGTGTACATATGATTATCAAACTCAAGACCCCGTGCATTGGCTGAAATACTAAGTACAAATGCTGCTAGTTAAAATAATATCCATATGTTGACTTATATTACCCAGAAAGTACTTGATACACAGTTTCAAAGTGAGGCAAATAAAAGACTTTACTTCAGAAGGAAATTTTAACTACTGTAGAAAAACTGTTCCCCAGTGTTTACCCTCAAATCATAAATATTGTGGTGAATACTTGCAACTCCAGCACTTGGAAGATGAGACAAAGGAAAAAATTAAAAACATATACAACGTTATGAATTAACAAGTCTGAAATTAAAAGTGTTACATGGACACATTTCAAATAAAGACCCAAATATATTCATCACTTTCTTGCAAAAGTTTTATTGATTTTTAAATTTGTTTTTCATCCTAAGCACAGTTTCCCCTCCCTCCTCTCCTATTATTCACTCTCCCACCTCCCTCCTACCCCCCAATTCCCTCCTTATCGATCTCCATTCAGTTAAGGTAAGGCCTCCCATGGGAACCAACAGCATGGCATATCAAGTTGAGGCAGGACCAAGTTCCTCCCCTCTGCATCAAGGCTGAGCAAGGCATTCCACCATAGGGAATATGTTCCAAAAGCCAGCTCATGTGCTAGCTACAGGCCTGGTCCCACTGCTAGGGGTCCCACAAACAGACCAAGCCATACAACTGTCACCCACATGCATAGGGTCTAGGTCAGTCCCATACAGGCTCCCTAGCTGTGAGTCTAGAGTCCATGAGCTCCCACAAGCTCAGGCCAGCTTGTCTCTGTACGTTTCCCCACCATGATCTTGATGCCCCTTGCTCATATAATCCCTCCTGCCCCTCTTCAGCTAGACTCCTGGAGCTCAGCCTGCTACTTGGCTGTGGTTCTCTGCATCTGCTTCCATCAGGTACTGGATGAAGGTTCTCTGATGTCAACTAGGGCAGTCACCAATCTGATTACAGGAGAAGGCCAGTTCAGGCACCCTGTCCACTATTGCTAGGAGTCTTAGCTGTGGTCAACCTTGTGAATTCCTGGGAGTTTCCCTGGCAACAGGTTTCCCCCTAACCCTATAATGCCCCGTCTATCAAGATGCAAATTTTTTTCTTTAATCAGCTCATTAAACTGCACATCTTATGATTGGAAAGCAAAGCCATATGGCGTTTTTTTATGTACATATAAAAATTTGTTCTCTTCTGGCATGCATAGGGAATGCAACACAGTCACGAACAGATAATCGGGCATAACTGCAGAAGCACAAGAGTCTGGAGAAGGCTCTTCCAGATGCCCTGCATTCTGCCCTCTCTCCGGTGGAGCTCATTTGATGTAAGCTGGCTCTGCTTCAGAACAGACAGGTGAACACAATAGCTCCCATAGTAGTTTTACACATATCATTAGTGTTTTCTATGCAGTCAGTCATCCAAATAAAATCCTTATACTTTTAATGCATCTTGTTTCACCTCCTTGCAAAAGGTCTGTGAGTTTTGGAGCCCTGCTCCTGTTCTCATATGAGGAAGAAGCTGAGCATTGACATTTGGAAATGAGGCTGTACACAGGTTTTCTACAGACGCCTGTACCATATAGGGCAAGAGCCTTCTCTGGTTAACTGAGGGGGTCGGGGGTTTGATGACAAACAAATATGAAATTTTATCAAACTTTTTTACCTCTAAGGAGATGAGTTAAGGTTTTTGCTTTCTTGAATTATTTATTCTGGGAATTTTATCTATAGAGTTTTCAGATGTGAAAATCTTGCATCTCTGAAGTAAATCTGTCTTAGCATGATGTGTTATCCTACCAACACAGTGCTAGAGTCCCTGGAAAAAGTGCTTGTGTCTCTGTTTATAAAGACTAGTGGCCTCCAGTTTCTTTCCCTTGTTAGTCTCTGGTTGATGGCATGGGGAATGTTGACTTCCCTTCATCTTTTTTAAAATCTGAAATCTGCAACACCTATCAGGACACCTCTTTTGTATTTCAGATATTAATATATTTGTTTTCTTTTGTTTCCTCTATCAATTTCCCCAGAGATTAATTTTATTATCTATTCAAACAATATGCTTTTACCTCATACATTTCAAACTGCTATGCTCTTTATTTTCCTGCTTTCATTTATTTGAGGCTTAATAATTAGTTTCTTTCAATCTATTATGGTGAGAGTTTTACATTTCTGAGGGGAACAACAGAATACAGGTGATATGAAGGGGATATGGGAAATGGAAAGGTGACTTTAACTAAGGATGTGGAGGGAAGCCAATAGAGGTTTGAGAAACTTCCTTTCAAGTTTCTGGTCAGGGAAGTGCAAAAGTCTCACGAGACAATACACAGTATTGCTGTTGCCCTTGGATGCCTCCTAAGGTTGAATGTAAGTCCTACTGCTCAAGACCTCTTAGAATACAGGACTCTAAAGATTCCAACTGGATCTCACCTGAAACCCTCCTCCCTGGAGACTAGCTTTAGAGTAACAGAAGGTGCTCTGCAGCTGCCCTGGAAGGGAAGCAAACAACAGTCATCACCAGCTGGGAGACCTATGATTTACAGCAATGGCCAGCCTAGAAAGAGATGCCTAAAGGTGCAGTAGTACCATTGATTTCTAGGCAGTAACTGACAGGTATCTGATTAGAATTCATACTAGCTCAATAGAAGACAAACTAAGCTTAATACTAGAATTCTAGCCAACAGCCCAGGGCTAATTTAGTCACGGATCTTGTGGAAGAATCTACTACCACCACTTTAATAGACTAGTATAATTCCTGATTGCTTTGTAAAACATGTCAACCACAGGTAAGGATAGCTCTCAACCCTCATCAAAGAAATTTCTCTTTGAATTAGATAGACACCATAACAGAAAACCACAAAAGATCAAAATACAGAGAGAAGCTGATTGTGAGGCATCCAGCCTCAGACACATCTACAACACAGTTGGTGCACTGATAGTTCAGGGAATATCTTGGAAGATGAGGTAGAAAGACTACAAGAGCCAGGGTACCGGGAAGTCTGTTGTGATATTGTATCTCCAAGAAATGATCAAGCAATGCATATGATGCTTCAACAATATGGATGCCTAAATAAGACCTGAACAATAACAATACCAAAAGATTTGTTAATGTGGAAGAGGGAACTCTTACAGGGACCCACCCCTTAGCCAAAGAGCTACAGGCAACTAAAACCTTCTGAGAGAGGGAGATATAGTCTCTCCTAGGAATGAGCCATCTAATTGGTTATCCATTAGCAAATGGTCAGCACTGAAGTCATATAAATACAATCAATACTAAACAGATACAACAGGCTGTATTTACACATTTATGCACTTATGTATGTGTATGTATATAACAATAGTCATCAAAGAAAAAGAGGTCATCCATTTCAGAGGGAGTGAGAGGGGGCATGCAAGGGAGCATTGGAGGGAAGAAAAAGGATAAATTGAAAATATTTTAGCTAAAGAAATAATTCAGTTTTTTAAAATGTCAGAGTCTTAGCAGCACCGATGGACTGTAATACACTAAGTCTTAGATGTTATCTCACTCCAGATGTTTGCTAGTTCTATTACTAATTTTTCATTGCTTTTTAATTTCTTAATTAAATTTCTTAGTGCTTGCAGATATTTCAGTTATATTTTGGCCATTTTCCTAATTCTTATGATTACCTGACTTCTATCCTTTTATGTTTGTTAGATTTTTTTATAACTAAAAGATAAGCTCTATCTTGTCAATGTTGCAGAGTTCTTTTTTTAAAAAAAAGTAACTTATCAACATAAAAAAGGCCTTTGGAAACCCCCAATAGCTCACCGTGGGTCCTTAAAACTCTAACTACAAGTGACTCTTTCTTTAGTGGAAATAATACACATATAAACCTTACAAGTAATATATTTACTGTTAAGGAGCTGGATGTTCCCCATCACATCAGCAATGAAGCAAACATGTCTTCGCTCATCTGTTTTGATTTGTTTGTTTGTTTATCTTCTAGGAATGCTGTTTTTATAAATGCCAACTAATGAAATAAGAGAAGAAAAGAAAACTTATATATGCAGGAAAGGAAGAAATAAAACTGTTTTGATTTTAGGTGACATGATTGTCTATGCAGAAAACCCGAAGGACAAACAAGATCCCTTCTGGAAGTAAAAAATGTTCATAGAAGAGTTACAGAATATGGATTTTTATATATAATCTCACAGTTTTCATGTATAACAATAGGAGTGAATCAAACCTGGATTAAAAGCACAGAGGAGCTGAAGAGCAATGACTGCTCTTCCAGAGGACTCAGGTTCAATTCCCACCATGCATTCTGTGGCTCACAACAGCCTAACCCCAGTCCCAGGGGGTCTAATGTCCTCTTCAGGCCTTATAGGTACTGCACATACATGGTGAACAACATATATGCCAGCAAGGCACCCTTACACATTTCAAAATTTTAAAAAGCACAATAATATTCACATTTGCACCAAAATTCAAATACTCCAAGATAACCAGCAAAATATGTGAAAGCACTATATGAGGCAAGCAATCAAACTCTTATAAAAGTTTAAAGAGGAACCAAATAAAAAGAAAAATTATATACCAGTTGATAGGAAGACTCATCGTTGTCAAGCTGTCAATTCTGTCCAACCTGACCTATAGATTCAATGCAACCAAAAAGTATATAAAGTTACTTTATGGATGACAACAGGCTAATTTCAATCTTTATATAAAATAGCAAAGGACTCAGGACAGCCAAAATGACATCAAGAGAGAACACAGTGAGAGATCAGAGCCTACCTGACTTTACAACTTCTTGTCATAAGTCAATGAAACTCAGTGGCATGCCCAAGAGTAGCTACAAAAGCACAAGCCACCCAATCTTTGGCAAAGCATCAGTAATGATGCCCTTTAAACTTAGCATTGATCAAAATACATTATGTAAAAGTATCAATTAATAGAAGTATTTAAAATGAACAAAAACTAGTGTTAAATTACTGCACACCCAGTGTGAACAGTGAATCTAGAGTTGGGCTTTATACCCTTTGAAATATTACCTAAAATAGATATAAACCCAAATGTAAAATGAAAATCAAAACGCCCTACAAGACAGCATGGAAACAGTCTTGGATGTGGAGGTCAAAGGATACAAAACCAAAGTCGCCATCTATAGAAGGCAGATTGGATAAGCTTGAGTTCTCTAAAATTAATTTTTTCTGTTCTCCCAGGGTAGCCTTAAGAAAATGAAAGGATAAGATACAGACTGTCAAAAATAATTTGCAAAATTCCTTTCTGATAAAGGACTGGCATCTAAAATACATGTGATGAGCTTGTGCCAGCTTTCCATTGCTGCAATTATTATCTGAAGTATTATGTGAAAGAAAAAAAATATTATGGCTCACAGTTTTAAGGCTTCAGCACTTAGTAGATTAGCTCCATTGCACTTAGCCTATGACAAAGCAGTGTAACTGGCTCCATTGCACTTAGCCTATGGGAAGGCAGGCATGTCATGCTGGAATGTGTGCAGAGGAGAAAGGCTTCTCACCTCATGGCATCCAGGAAGCAAGGAGAAACACAAAGGAGCCAGGATCCCAGTAACAATTTAAGCCCCAGCAACCTTCCTTCCTCCCTTCCTTCCACTTCTTAAACAGTTTTACCAACTTACAATACATTGTAGAGCAGGCACCAAGCCATTCAAGACCCCAACTGTAGCGATGCTTAAACCTTCATGAGAATACAAACAAACATTAAAATATGGGTCAAGTACTGTAACAATTATCTCATTAGAAAATATAAACAGCCAAATAAAAATAAAGTTGCCCACATCATGCATCAGCAGGAGAAGCAAATTAAATCAATGACATTCTGCCCCATGTCTATCTGATGAGTTGAACAGTGAGAATATAGACTGACTGGAGCTTTCATCCATTGCAATGGGAATGGGAAATGATATAAATACTTTGGAAGAGAAATTCTTGACTTCTTAGGAACCTAAGCAATTCTTGCTGCCCAATCCAGCAGTGACAGTCTTCGGTATGTGTCCAAAGTAGTTAACAACTGAAATGCACTATGGCACTTACAAAAAGAGTTTTTCATAATTTTACAACTATGAAAGTAAATGAAATATCTTTCACTGGGGAATGAATAAGTAAACTGAAGCACATAAAGAAGAATTGAAAACCAAGCTATCAAACTATGAGATGACTTCCAATGCATATCATTAAGTGAAGGAAGCCATTTAGACTGTATGAAGAGTACACACTGTGATTCTACTTTGTGGCATTCTGGAAAAGGCTAAACCATGAAGACAATAAAAGGTAAATTGCCAGGGCTTAGGGATAAGGGAGGAACCAATAGGTAGGTCACAGAAAACTTTCAATTTTATGTGACCCCCCAATTATTTTTAAATCTTCTTAGGAGATGATTATACTCTGCTGGATCTTGTTGGAATAGTCTAATGTCAATCAATTTTTATGTTTTTGTTACTTTTCATTTCACTTATATTACTTTTAATTTCACTTATATTAATTACTGAAAAATAAGTTTTTAATGCAACATATTTTAATCATTTTCACTCCCCATCCCAAGTACTTTTAAAAGAATATAAGGAAATGCCTGAATTTTTTATTTTAAAATGTCTGGGCCAAGCATAGGAAAGGGATGTATAGGGTAAAGATTATGCAGGGATGTGAAGGATATATAAGATGGTGAGTGGGTGAAAGTAGTTAGGGTGTATTGTATACACATCCAAAGACAAATTTAACTAATAAAAATGCATCACTCTACAACCAAGAAGTTTAGAATTAAAATTTAACTGCCATTCAAAAGGAACCTGTTAATTTTGATTTAATTTGGAAAACAACCAGAGCACAGAATAAATGAACTGATTAAATTCTTACCTACTCAAAATCTATTGGACAATGTAGCTTCCTTGTTCAAATCTGATTTCCTGAAAAACAAATGAAAATAGCTTATGTGTAACCCCATCCCACTCACCATGTAACTTGCTGTCCTATTTCTCTTTCATGTTGTAACTTATTTTCTACAATGTGGAACAAACATTATCATTCTAATTTTATAGGCTAAGTTTTCCTTTTATAAATATTCAATTTGCTATTCTTCCATAAGCATAATCCCTTAACACCTATTAGCAGCACCATGGTTTGTAATTAATCTGTTTCTTCACAATTGCACAGGATGACTGACAATCTCAAGGTAAAGAAAGTAGAAATGCTGTGTCTGCCACACAGAAAGAGTGATGACGTAAGACAGAAGAGCAGTCTTAATCAGAAGAATGTGCTTGTAATCCTTAAACACAAAGCACATTAAAAAATAACCATTTTGTAGGCTGGTAATCATTTAGTCAATGTCTAAAATCCACAAATGAGTGAGTACATACCATGTTTGTCTTTTTGCGATTGGGTTACATTGCTCAGAATAGTTTCTTCTAGTTCCATCTATTTTCCTGCAAATTTCAAGATTCCATTTTTTTCCCGATGAGTAGTACTCCATTGTGTAAATGTACCAGATTTTCTCTATCCATTCTTCAGTTGAGGGACATCTAGACTGCTTCCAGTTTCTGGCTTTT